GTGCTGCCACTGTTTCCTTGGTGTGGACGTCGAAAATCTTCCATGCGTTGTAATTCTTTTCGATGCCCAGGTGTAGTCCCCACTGTGCGCGTTGAGAGAATCGGCCGGCTCGTGCAGATGGGGGCCGGTACTGTACCATGCAGCCGAAGACCCTTAACATTTTTGTGCTGCCCAGTTTTCCTGTCCACAGCAGGTGCGGTGATGCGTTGTTTGGGAGCGATGATGACGATAGCAAGTTGTGCAGCATGACGGCGTGGTCCATTGCTTCGGGCCACTGGTGGTTGGGCAGGCGCATGCCACGTAGTAGTTTGCACATGGTGTTCTGGAGGGTCCTGTTCATCCTTTCTGCTACACCTTGCTGTTGATGGGCGTAGGGAAGAGAGATGAGCCGCTTGATTCCTCTTTCAGCCAAGTATTGCTTGAACCTCTGTGAGGTGTATTCTCCTCCCCCGTCTGACTGGAAGCTCTTCAGTTTGACGCCCGATTCTCGCTCTGCTACTGGGAGCCACGCGACGAAGGCTTCGAAGGCCATGTCTTTGCTCGGAAGGTTTAGATGCCAGACATATCGTGTGGCGGCGTCGATGAAGGTGATGGTGTAGTTGTACGCGTTTTGCCCAGGCTCGCGGTTGTACAAGATGTCGCTGTACACCTTCTCGAGTGGTGCGTAAGCTGGTGCGCTTGGGTTGTGGTGAGGGACAAACGGCTGATGCGGTAAGTCAGCTTCAGGACATGTGAAGCACGTCCCTTTTACTCGTTAGAGTTCTCTCCCGTCATGAAGTAGGAGCGAATCTTTGTCGAGCACTCCTGCCCTTATCGTGTTGTTTAACGTTGTGTTGCTTGGGTGACCCATCCGTGCATGCCAGATTTCTTCGCTGGCGCGGTGTCCGGGTGAACGTCGGTACATGTCTGAGTTGGAGTAGAAGCTGGCGGTGAAGTTGGCGCTTCGATGAACTTCTCGTGGTGCTGGGTTTAGTTGTTGCGGGGGTGTCGGTGGCGTGTCGTCGACGAGAAGTGGTGCCGTTGAAGGACCAGCGACTGGCGTTGACGTTCCTGCTGCTGCTGTTGATGTCTTTGCTGCTGCCGATGTTGTCTCTGCTGCTGCCGATGTTGTCTCTGCTGCTGCCGATGTTGTCTCTGCTGCTGTCGATGTTGTCTCTGCTGCTGCCGATGTTGTCTCTGCTGCTGCCGATGTTGTCTCTGCTGCTGCCGATGTTTGTTGAATTGTTGCTAACGCTCTTGTTCTTTCTGCCTCAGGGATGGTGTGTGAATACCAGAAGCCGCCGGGGCTGAAGTCTGGATCAAGGTCTGGAGGGTGGGTCCAGGAAGTGAAGGCGACGATCCCGTCGCTGTCTGCTGTCCCAAGGTCTGGAACAAAGTCAAGAACGAAGACGTTGTTTTTCAGGATCGCCTTTCCGATGTAGAGACCGCCCTTCCCGTGGTACAGCTTAAACTCCTGGGTGGTGCTGTCTGCTTCAAGGTGGATACCTTTCGCCATCAGTTGACTAACGCTGAGTAAGTTGTAGCCGAGGCCTTCTGCTATTAGAACCTTCGACATCTGTAGTATGACATTTGTTTCACGTGACTGAAGTTGAACGACGCCTTGTCGACGTGTGCGCAGGTTTTCGTTGTTGGCGACGGTGATTACTACTTCGCGTTGGAGTTGGTACTCTCGTTGCACGAAGCGTCCTGAAGAACACATGTGTTGTCCGCAGCAACTGTCTAAGAACCACGTGTCCTTTCCGGATGGCTCGCTTTGAGCGATGGCTGCGTATGTCGGATTCGGCTGGAGTGAATCGCGGTGAGGTGTGGTGTCGTCGATTTGTTCTTCCGGTGAGAAGTACGGTGGTGATCCCGTGATGCAAGAGTCGCTCAGTCTTGCCATGCAACTAACGATGTTCCTTGCTCCTTGTGCAGGTTGTCCTGTTGAGGTCGTTGAGGCTTTAATTTGGGTCGTAGGACTTGCTTGCATTGAGGCGACTTGATTGCTTGAAGGTCGGAGCTGCCGCTGTGAAGGCGTTGACTGCTGTCGATTCGGGCAGTGCGTGCGTGGGTGCCCTGACGTTTTGCAGATGTGGCAGAATGGAGGTACGGGCTTCGGTTGTTGTTGTTTGTTGTTGTTGTAGCGTCGCTGAGTGTGGAATGCAAATTCCGGTGCTGATGTCTTCTTCTTGTGTCGTTCTTCTTGCAGGTCCATGTCTTGTTGCTCGGCATGGATTTCGGCGCAGAGTGCTGCTTCGGAGATTCTTCCGTGGGCTCGGAGAATGGCCTTTGTGGCGCGCCATTGAGGACCAAGGCCGCCAATGATAACTATCACGAAGGCGTCTTCAGAAATCGACCCTCCGCATCGAAGAAGCTTGTCGCGCAACTCGCGACATCGGCTGATATACGCCATTCCTTTCTCGCCTGGTTTCATTTCGACCGTTGTCAGTTGCGCCATTAATCGACTTTGATTTACGCTGTCTGTTGCTTGATACAGGCTCTTCAAGTGGTTGTATGCGAGCTCCGCAGAGTTGCCGTAACCCCGGAAAGACTGTATATTCTGCTGTTGGGTCGGGGTGATGTTTCTCAGTAGAATCGTGTACGCCATCATCGACTGATAGGTGTACTGCTGCTTCTCATACTGTGTGCCGTTCGTTGGGTATGGCAGGGACCCGTCGAAGAAGCCAAGTATCTGCGCGCCTTCCATCATTAACTCGAATTCAAACGACCAGGTGAAGAAGTCCTTTCCATCGAAAGGTCTTGATGTCTGCATCTTTAGAACGTGCGCGAACTGCGACTGAACTTGTAACGCATCTAGTGGCCTATCTTGTCCAGGTGAAGGCTGCGGGTGTGGCACGAAGCTGATGGACCCGCGCTCGTACGGAGCAAAGGTAGGCTGCTGCTGTTGATTTCCTCGTGCGTATGATGAGCCGTCGAGGCTCATGGGAGTTGCTCCGTTGTTGTTGCTGTTGTGTGACTGCGCAGGTGCCGATTGTTGGTGTTGCTCGTAGAAGGACATGAAGGAGAAGAATTTCTCCATCATGCTCTGGTCGAGGTCTGCAGGTTGATTCGCAGGAGTCTCGGTGGATGTTGCCCTGGGTCTTGTTGCCGTACCCTCCTCTGTCTGTAGGCCAGAGGCAGGAGGTGGAGTAGGAGTAGTGCCCTGGGAGCCGTTGGAGGAGCTCCTTTCCTTTTGTGTAGCCATGTCTGTTGATGTTGTTGGTATCTTGGTAGAAGTTGAATTCCCCCTGATAGCTCTCATACCATGTTGGGCTGAGAAAAAGCCCTTAGGATCTTTGCAGGGGTGAACTCGGGGTAGGACTTGTTGTAATAGCGGAAGCTTTAATTGAGGTAGTTTAACCACCTTGCGCTAGTATGTGAGGGCAAAGTGGATTGATTAAAGCAAAGAGATACAATAATATATAAGAGTACAAGGAATACGAAGAGATACAGTTGCAACTACTTTACTGTTGCTGTTGCGGTTCGATACAGTGACGACTCGGGCAACTGCTCTGTAGCGAGTCAGTTGTGTGTCCTTGCTGTCGCGCTGTACTTGTCAGGTCAAAGGTCGCTGGCCTTTGACTTTCGCGTAACCTCCAACAGTTACTTCAACCTCCGAGGGTTGACTCGCCGGTGCTTCGATATGCTTCGCTTTGTTTGTGCCTTAGTGTTTCGACACGACAGAGGCGCTTAAGATCGATTGTTTCCAACAACTACAGCCTATCACAAATATCAACATTTGACACACCCCCATAGGCCAAGTGAGGGGCATCAAAGCAAGCAGGGTGAACAAACGGTCACAAGACCAGTCAATGCAAGAAACAAAGCAAGCTCAGGGTGGATCTCAAGGACACCATACAAATTCCGAGCACAAGCAATCGGCCACAAGACCAGTTCAAGAGTGCACTAGGATATAAAATAGCAAAGCACAACAAGCAGAGCAAGCAACAAGGCTACAGCAACCGAGGACCTGCCTCAACAAGCCCTAACTGCACACAGAATCGGTGGTGATCACCAGGCGCCAAGGCCTTAGTGAAGAGGTCAGCAGTGTTTGGCATCTGAGGCCACAAAGTCCAGGCGCACCTGGTCGCGTCGCTGTAGCTCACGCAGGAGGAAGTACCGGACGTCGATGTGCTTCACCCTGGTCTCCAGTCGAGGCTCGCGACACAAGAGAATCATGGCCTTGTTGTCAGCGAACAAGGTCGGAGCAGTGCGAGGTCGCTCACCAAAGTCAGTGAGCAAGAAGGTCAACCAGCGAAGCTCGTGAGCAGCCATAGCACTGGCATAGATCTCTGCCTCTGCACTGGACGAAGCCACCGACGACGACCGTGTGGACCTCCACGACACGGCCCCAGCTCCCAGACTGAAACAGTAACCCTGGGTCGAGCGCTGAGTCTCCACGTCATCAGCGTAAGAAGAGTCACAGAGGCCAGTCAGCTCAACTGGTCGAGTCCCTCCAAGCACAAGCCCCATGCCTGATGTAGTCGCCAGGTACTTCGCCACCCTCACGGCAGCCGTCCACTGAACAGGACGGTGCCTCCCAGGTCCAACAAAGCGAGAGAGGACACTAAGAGGGTAGGCGAGGTGCAGTTACAGACCCAGCAGGAGAGAGTAGAGGAGGAGTCACGGCCGCAGCAGGAGAGGGTAGCGCAGGAGTCCTGGTCGCAGCAGCGGGTGCAGCTGCAGTCGCAGCAGGAGAGGGCAAAGGCGGAGCCACAGGAGCAGCAGCAGGGGCCGGTACCGTCGCAGCAGACGCCAGAGGAGGCGGAGCAGCAGCGACTGCGACTCCGCGACCTCCCCGACCCAGCACCTGCACGCTTGGTCCGTTCCACCTTGTTCTTCGCTCTCGTGTTCCACCTCCTCCTGTCCTTCCACAGCCCCCTGAGTCGTCCCTCACTGTGCTTCACGACCCGTTGTCCGACTACCTCCGTGCCTCCCGTCCTGTCGTCTCCCGTGTTTTTTCCGCGTTGGTCACTCACCCGACTGCACCTGCCCCACTCACCAGCTGCCCCACTCACCAGCTGCCACACTCACCAGCTGCCCCACTCACCAGCTGCCCCACTCACCAGCTGCCCCACTCACCAGCTGCCCCACTCACCAGCTGCCCCACTCACCAGCTGCCCCACTCACCAGCTGCCACACTCACCAGCTGCCACACTCACCAGCTGCCCCACTCACCAGCTGCCCCACTCACCAGCTGCCCCACTCACCAGCTGCCCCACTCACCAGCTGCCCCACTCACCAGCTGCCACACTCACCAGCTGCCCCACTCACCAGCTGCCCCACTCACCAGCTGCCCCACTCACCAGCTGCCCCACTCACCAGCTGCCCCACTCACCAGCTGCCCCACTCACCAGCTGCCCCACTCACCAGCTGCCCCACTCACCAGCTGCCCCACTCACCAGCTGCCCCACTCACCAGCTGCCCCACTCACCAGCTGCCCCACTCACCAGCTGCCACACTCACCAGCTGCCCCACTCACCAGCTGCCACACTCACCAGCTGCCCCACTCACCAGCTGCCCCACTCACCAGCTGCCCCACTCACCAGCTGTCCCACTCACCAGCTGCCCCACTCACCAGCTGCCCCACTCACCAGCTGCCCCACTCACCAGCTGCCACACTCACCAGCTGCCCCACTCACCAGCTGCCACACTCACCAGCTGCCCCACTCACCAGCTGCCCCACTCACCAGCTGCCCCACTCACCAGCTGCCCCACTCACCAGCTGCCACACTCACCAGCTGCCCCACTCACCAGCTGCCCCACTCACCAGCTGCCCCACTCACCAGCTGCCCCACTCACCAGCTGCCACACTCACCAGCTGCCCCACTCACCAGCTGCCCCACTCACCAGCTGCCCCACTCACCAGCTGCCCCACTCACCAGCTGCCCCACTCACCAGCTGCCCCACTCACCAGCTGCCCCACTCACCAGCTGCCCCACTCACCAGCTGCCCCACTCACCAGCTGCCCCACTCACCAGCTGCCCCACTCACCAGCTGCCCCACTCACCAGCTGCCCCACTCACCAGCTGCCACACTCACCAGCTGCCACACTCACCAGCTGCCCCACTCACCAGCTGCCCCACTCACCAGCTGCCACACTCACCAGCTGCCCCACTCACCAGCTGCCCCACTCACCAGCTGCCCCACTCACCAGCTGCCCCACTCACCAGCTGCCCCACTCACCAGCTGCCACACTCACCAGCTGCCCCACTCACCAGCTGCCCCACTCACCAGCTGCCCCACTCACCAGCTGCCACACGGGGACTGCTAGCGACCCGTTGTCAACCATGGCGCTGGTGAGGCAGGTGAGCAGGGGCGTGGGGGCGAGGGGGACAGGGAGGACGGAGGTCGAGAAGCAGGTGAGGCGACGAGCTTGGCACATGCGAACAGTTGGCAGTAGGACAGGTGGCAGGGGGACAGCTGGCAGGGGGACAGCTGGCAGGGGGACAGGTGGCAGGGGGACGCAGTTGCAACACAGACAGTGGGGCGTCACATATGTCAAATTATATGCCTATGTCATAATAAAATGTAGGCTTTAGTGGGGTAGCTAATGTAGGGTATAGTTTTTGTTACTCTCGACAACATAACGATGAGCAGCGCAGGGAGTGGATCAGTGCATTGCAGCTCCCGGTACATCGGGCTGCAGCTTCAACCCACAACCACTTGCAACAGCTCCAGTTTCTTCCTCACATTCCCCATCCGCTTCCACCCACTGCCCACACCTTACTCCGCATCCCCCCGCAATGTCTTTCCCCTTTCCCCCCCTCTGTCACGTGTGTTTCCAGGAGCACCCAAGCGCTTCTCCAGCAAGGCATTCAGATCGGCAGCTGGACCGTCCAAACCAAAAGCGCCTCTGACGGGCCCTGGGGGGTGGCGAGGCTTGGGAAGCAGCAGGCGCAGCCTGAATGCCGCACCAGGCGCAGCCTGAATGCCGCAGCAGGCGCAGCCTGAATGCCGCAGCAGGCGCAGCCTGAATGCCGCAGCAGGCGCAGCCTGAATGCCGCAGCAGGCGCAGCCTGAATGCCGCAGCAGGCGCAGCCTGAATGCCGCAGCAGGCGCAGCCTGAATGTGTGTGTGTGTGTGTGTGTGTGTGTATGTGTGTGTGTGCGTGTGCGTGTGCGTGTGCGTGTGCGTGTGCGTGTGTGTGTGTATGTATGTCTGTGTGTGTGTGTGTGTGCATGTGTGCATTTGTGTGTGCATGTGTGCATGTGTGCGTTTGTATGTGTGCATGTTCGTGCATGTGTGTGTGTGTGTGTGTGTGTGTGTGTGTGTGTACATGCCCTTCCCTCCCATGCAACAGCCTCGTCAGCAACTGCTCACTACCATCCCAGCCGCTGCCATCCTTCCCACTCTCTGCAAGCCTCGCCAACCTGTGAGCAAAACCCATCCAACTCCTCTCCTCCAACTCCTCCCATCCAACTCCTCTCCTCCAACTCCTCCCATCCAACTCCTCCCATCCAACTCCTCCCATCCAACTCCTCCCATCCAACTCCTCCCATCCAACTCCTCCCATCCAACTCCTCTCCTCCAACTCCTCCCATCCAACTCCTCCCATCCAACTCCTCCCATCCAACTCCTCCAATCCAACTCCTCCCATCCAACTCCTCCCATCCAACTCCTCCCATCCAACTCCTCCCATCCAACTCCTCCCATCCAACTCCTCCCATCCAACTCCTCCCATCCAACTCCTCTCCTCCAACTCCTCCCATCCAACTTCTCTCATCCTACTCCCCTCGTCCAACTCCTCTCATCCAACTGCGTATTGCCTAACTCTTTGTCTGGCTTAAGTTATGATTGCGCTACTAATCATATATTCGGTACTAAGTAAATGCGTTACTCAACCTTATCTTCGGTCTAAGCATAAGTGCATTAGTTAACTCTATGTTTCGTACTAATATTAATATATAGCACAAATTGATAATAGTGATCATTCAGTAGATTAATTACTAATTAAAAAAAAGATTTCTGGTCTTTAGCTGTTTGGTACGAAAGAAGTGTGTTCTTTACCTTTATGTTTCGTACTAACTGTAATTACACTATTGGTTCTTATGCTTGGTACTAAGTAGAAGTGTCACGCTTCTCTTACCACCCATGCTCTCAGTTTCCTCCTCTAGCTTCCACGCACACTCCAACTTTCCAGTCACACTCCTCCCCACCTCAACTCTCCTCTCCTCTGTGTTCCCCCTTGCAGCGACCTGAGCAGCAACCACTTCACAGGCGCCATTCCCCCGACACTCTTTTGGAACAACCCCAACCTCATCAACCTGTGAGCGTCCCATCAACCTGTGAGCGTCCCATCAACCTGTGAGCGTCCCATCAACCTGTGAGCGTCCCATCAACCTGTGAGCGTCCCATCAACCTGTGAGCGTCCCATCAACCTGTGAGCGTCCCATCAACCTGTGCTCCGTGTGTCAGCTGTGCTGCTCCTCTCTCTCCCCCCCCCCCCCCCCCCTCCGTGCAGCAACCTGGCCAACAACATGCTCACCGGCCACCTGCCTCAGCAGATCGCCAATGCCTCCTGGCTGCAGTCCCTGTGAGCGGCCACTCCCACTGCACTCTACCGTTCATTCTAGGGCAGCTCTCCTTGCTCCTCACACTCCCTTTCTCCTCTCATTTCCATGCATGTGACCACCTGCACCCGGACCTCACCTCTTCCCACCTCTGTCCACCTCTGTCCACCCATGTTCACCTCTCCACGAGCTGCAGGTTCCTGGCGGACAACAACCTGACGGGCGGCATTCCGGACATGGCGGGGCTGCCAAGCCTGGTGGCGCTCTCCCTCTACGATAACGACTTCACTGCCGTGCCGCCCGCCCTGCTCAACCACACCAACGTCACTCTGCAGTGAGTGCGGTGCAGTGCGGTGCAGTGAGCACGGTGCAGTGAGTGCAGCAGAGAAAGAGAGCACCACCTCGATGCATGGGCAGCATTCTCGCCATGACCGTTCCAATGAGGTCACCACCACCGCCACGCCATCACCATCCACTCCACACCTTCCTCGAATGGTCCTTTACTAACTAGCAAGTAGTACAGTCTGCATCACCTCTTCCTATTCCCCACCCCCACCCTCCTTCCCCTCCAGGCTGCACGGCAGCGACCTCTGCAAGCCCTTCTGCACGGAAACCGCTCAGCACTGTCCTTTCTTCTCCCCCCCCGTTTCCTCCTTCCCTTTCCTCCCCACCCCCAGACTATACGGCAACGACCTGTGCAAGCCCTTTCGCACGGAGATCGTACAGCAGTGCTCCCCGCCGCGCCCCCTCACGCAGTACACAGCGGGCGCCATCTGCCCCGAGCTCGCGTGCGCCAGCGACCTCTTCCGCCCCAGCCACCCGCTGTTCCGCGACGCCAGTGAGTGCGTGTGCGTGTCGCCGCTGCGCGCCGAGCTGGGGCTGTACCTCACGGACCTCGTCGTCTTCTCCGCCGACCTCGTGGAGAGCCTCGAGGACAAGCTCTTCTCGCAGCTCACCACCCGCGCGCACATCAACATCACGCGCAATCAGGTGCGTCGCCACTGCGCGCCGAGCTGGGGCTGTACCTCGCGGACCGCGTCGTCTGTTTTTTGAGAATTCTCAAAAAGCAGATCGCGGACCTCGTGGTGTTCACAGACGACCTCGTGGTGTTCACAGACGACCTCGTGGTGTTCACAGACGACCTCGTGGTGTTCACAGACGACCTCGTGGTGTTCACAGACGACCTCGTGGAGAGCCGCGAGGAGAAGCTCTTCACGCAGCTGATGGGCAGGGCGCGCATCAACATCACTCGCACGCGCGCTGCGCTACGCTCCCTTGCCTTTGCGCCTCCCGAAACACTTGGCGTGTAGCCCCTCCGACCGAACCCGAGGTTAATCCCAGTGTTCTTTCCACACCCCCCCCACCGGGAGCGCACCTTTACAGAGGAAAGAATGCTCTCCCTCCACTCCGCTATCTGCGAGCGACCTTCCTCTCTGCTTGCAGAGGCTGACGGCCACAACGCTTGAAACTGAACCCGGGCCTTCCCGGCAAGTAGCCAGTTCAGAATGGACTGGGTGGAAGGACATGTAGCCGGTTGCACCATGAAACCCTTCCGGCCGAACCCGAGGCCAATCTTAGTGTCCTTTCCACTATCTGGTGGAGAAAGATTGTTGTGAGTCTCTGCTCGAGGATTCTGGTGGCTGACTCTTTGAACAGCACCCACTAATCCTAATCGTTGACGAACCCTCCTTACCTTCGCCATCCCCCCGTGCACTCCACAGGTGCAAGTGACGGGCATCAGCAGCCGTGCGTCACTCGCCTCGCTGGCATCAACATTCGCCTCAGACCACACGACGCACGAGTCCACGCTCATCATCACCGCGCTCTTCTTCCCGCCCGCCGGGGACGACTCCTGGCTCCCAAGCGACACGCCACGCGCCATCCGCGCCGCCCTCTCCACGCGCGACCCGTCGCTGCGCGCCAACCTGGACGAGTTCGGGTCGTACCGCGTCGAAGCCTTCTACGGCCCCGCCCGTGCGTCCGGAGGGGGGGGGGGGGAGTTTGAGGGAAAGGGAAAGTGGGGGAAGGTGAGGAAGGCCGTTTTCGGATACGCACGTGCATCATGAGGGGAGGGGAGGAGGGGGGGGAGTGGGAGGGGTTGGATAAGGGTGTGGTGCAGGGAAAGAGGTGTAGGGCGAAGGAACGAAGTGACGGGGAAGGTGGTGTGGGGATCACGGGGTGGGTGTGAGGCACGGAGATTGTGGGTAGGTTGGCAGGTGTGTGCAGGTGTTCCATGCGATGGAGGACCTTCAAGGTCACACAGACACGTCCTTGACCCGCTTCCTCCCTGCTTCCTCCCTGATTCCTCCCTGCTTCCTCCCTGCTTCCTCCCTGCTTCCTCCCTGCTTCCTCCCTGCTTCCTCCCTGCTTCCTCCCTGCTTCCTCCCTGTTTCCTCCTTCTTCCTCCTTCTTCCTCCTTCTTCCTCCTTCTTCCTCCTTCTTCCTCTCTCTCTTCTTCCTTCATCACCGTTCCTCAGCTTCCCCATTCCCCCCGTCCGTCCACCCCACACACACCGCCGTGCAGCATACAAGGCGCCCGAGCAGGCGGCGTCAGCGCTAAGCCCGGGCACCATCGCGGCCATCGCCATCTGCTGCGCCACGCTCGTCATCTCGCTCGCGCTCGTGCTGCTCTTCCGCCCCTGGGAGAAGCGAGGTGAGGTGGGAGAAGCGAGGTGAGGTGGGAGAAGCGAGGTGAGGTGGGAGAAGCGAGGTGAGGTGGGAGAAGCGAGGTGAGGTGGGAGAAGCGAGGTGAGGTGGGAGAAGCGAGGTGAGGTGGGAGAAGCGAGGTGAGGTGGGAGAAGCGAGGTGAGGTGGGAGAAGCGAGGTGAGGTGGGAGAAGCGAGGTGAGGTGGGAGAAGCGAGGTGAGGTGGGAGAAGCGAGGTGAGGCGGGAGAAGCGAGGTGAGGCGGGAGAAGCGAGGTGAGGTGGGAGAAGCGAGGTGAGGCAGGAGAAGCGAGGTGAGCGGGTGGGGTGGGAGAATCGAGTTGGGAGAAGCGAGGTGGGAGAAGCGAGGTGGGAGCACGGAGATTAGGGAGGTGGGGGAAGTGGTGTGGGAAGGCAAGAGACAGCAGAAAGGGTGAGCTCATGACCAGCCACGGTAGCCACTGCACGGCCTTGCAGGTCATCAGCTCATGACGTGGTCCGTGCTCCCCCATGATCTGTATATATACTTCTGGGTCATCCTTGTGCGCAACTCAATGGCTGTGCCTGTGTGAGCCTCATCGCCCATGCGCTGACATCCACACTGTTTGTCAGGGAAGGAGGCTGGCACAGGAGGAGGCAGTGGAGCTAGTGTTGTTGCACACACGCGCTGCCTTGGGTGATCTCGTTGCACACATAGCTGCCCTCCCCGATTCACCGCCCTCCTCTGCTCGCCACCACCCTATCTCCATCCCTCACTGCAGTCGTTCTCCCTTCCCTTGTCATCCACGCTTCACCATTCGCCACCCTCCCCCACTCATCGCCCCCCTGGCAGGGTGGAGCAGTGCGGACTACTCAGCACTGGAGGGCATCAACCTGGGCCACGCGCGGCGCTACTCGCTGCAGCAGCTGCACGACGCCACCCACGGCTTTGATGACCAGCTCGTGCTGGGGCAGGGCGGATACGGCAAGGTATGGCTGGGGCAGGGCGGATACGGCAAGGTATGGCTGGGGCAGGGCGGATACGGCAAGGTATGGCTGGGGCAGGGCGGATACGGCAAGGTATGGCTGGGGCAGGGCGGATACGGCAAGGTATGGCTGGGGCAGGGCGGATACGGCAAGGTATGGCTGGGGCAGGGCGGATACGGCAAGGTATGGCTGGGGCAGGGCGGATACGGCAAGGTATGGCTGGGGCAGGGCGGATACGGCAAGGTATGGCTGGGGCAGGGCGGATACGGCAAGGTATGGCTGGGGCAGGGCGGATACGGCAAGGTATGGCTGGGGCAGGGCGGATACGGCAAGGTATGGCTGGGGCAGGGCGGATACGGCAAGGTATGGCTGGGGCAGGGCGGATACACCCTGCCTGCACCACACCCTGCCTGCACCACACCCTGCCTGCACCACACCCTGCCTGCACCACACCCTGCCTGCACCACACCCTGCCTGCACCACACCCTGCCTGCACCACAGCATTCTCTCAGCCTTCCCGCTGGCAGTCAGCAAGGCGGCACAGCGGCACCGCGTCCTTCCCCCACCCCTCCGCTTCCCCCTGTCTTCCCTCTATTATGTGACCTCCTCTTCCGCGTGTTCCGTGGCACCTTTCCCCCCATTCTCCCCCTTGTTCCCCCCATTCTCCCCCTTGTTTCCCCCCATTCTCCCCCTTGTTTCCCCCCATTCTCCCCCTTGTTTCCCCCCATTCTCCCCCTTGTTTCCCCCCATGCATGCCACGTGTACGAGGGCGTGCTGAATGGCGAGGTGGTACCGATAAGCAACGCAACACAGCGCCCCCAACCCCTTCCCCGGTCCCCCTGTCTTTCCCAACCCCCCAGTCCCTCCCTCGTTGCGAACCAGGTGTACCTCGGGGTGCTGAGCGGTCAGATGGTGAAGCAGGCGCGGTGGAGGCAGGCACCCACCCCCTCCGCTTCCCCCCTCCCGCCCGTTGCCCCCCTCAGGTGTACCAGGGGGTGCTGAACGATGCAGCAGTGGTAATCACTCCCCACGGCCCCCCCCTCCGCCCTGGGTCCTCTTCAGGTGTACAGAGGGGAGCTGAACGGCGAGGCGGTGGCGATAAAGAAGGCGACGGAGAAGCACCGGCACGACGGGGCGGACTTCAAGAACGAGATCGAGCTGCTCACCGCCGTGTCGCACGGCAACCTCGTGCGCCTCACGGGTTTCTGTGTGGAGAAGGACGAGCAGCTGCTGGTGTTCGAATTCATGGAGGGCGGTGCTCTTGACGTGTGGATCAAAGGTGTGATTGCCATCCAATATGCTTCGCATGTAGTGCCGTGCATGCGGTTGGGTGTGTGGGTCACGGGTGTGCCTGCCAGTGGATTCTCTGTGGACTGGGATTGCAAGCTGCACCGGAGGTGTTTGTTGTGCATGTCCTCTTGAGCATCTGTGCTCTTGAGCATCTGTGCTCTTGAGCATCTGTGCTCTTGAGCATCTGTGCCCTTGCATTAAGTGCTGTGTACACCCAAGTGCCCCCCTCCCTGCTCCACTCCTCTTGCATGTGCCTTTTCTTTTTCATCCTCTCATTCCTCTCAACGACCATCCCCGTCCTGTACACATCCAATCCCACGCCACCTGCTGGATCTGCTGACGTGGCCACAGGCAAGATGAGTCGCTTGCTGACGTGGCGGGAGCGGATGCACATAGCTCTGAACGCGGCGAGTGCGCTGCACTACCTGCACCGGGAGATGAAGCCTGCCATCGTGCACCACGACATCAAGGTGGGTCGCACCGTGCCTTAGTCTTCATACCATAATGAAAGCATAAGGAGTCACATTAGGAATGAAGTATGGTGAGGCTTCTGACCTCGTCCATTCCCTCCATAACGGAATGACCTCGCAGGAGGCTCACTGGATGCCGCTCCCCCTTCTGACCCCCCCTCCTCAACCCTTGTCTTGTTACACGGCAGCGGGCGAACATCCTACTGACAGCGGCACTGGAGGCGAAGGTGGCGGACTTTGGCATCTCCAAGTCCATGCCCGAGCGCGGGGAGCTCGTGCCCGACGAGATCGTGGGCAGCAAGGTGAGATGCCATGCGGTGCAGTGCGGTGGGGTCACGGGCAGCTGGGTGAGATGCCATGCGGTGCAGTGCGGTGAGAGGAGAGGAGGGGAGATGAGGGGGGTTGAGGGTAGGTGAGGGGAAGTGAGGTGAGAGGAGATGAGTGTGTTGATGAAATTGGAAGGGAGATGAGTAGGGATGAGGGGAGAGGAGAGGAGATGAGGGGAGATGAGGGGAGATGGAGGGAGATGAGGGAAGGTGAGAGTGAGGGGAGATGAGGGGAGATGAGAGAGATGAAGGGAGATGGCAGGTGGGTGAGAGGGAGACATTGACCCACACTTTGCGCATTCAACTCGCCCACCAACTCTCCACGTTACCACACCAACCCTTCCCCCGTTCTCCCAGCCCTTCCCACCATGCCTACATCGACCCGTAGTTCAGATGAGCTGACGGATCGCAGCATCGCCTCACAACTCCTCCTCCCATCCCTCCATCCTTCCACTCCCCCATTTCTCCCTCTTTCCCGCCCCCCTCCCCCCAGGGTTACATCGACCAATACTTCGTGCATTCAGGAGTGCTGACGGAGAGCAGTGACGTGTACAGCTTTGGGGTGGTGCTGCTGCAGCTCGCCACGGGGCAGCCGGCGCTCATCCAGCACGTGCCGCTCAGCCAGGTCGTGCTGCACCTCGCCTTCGGCCCGCAGGGCCTCTCCTCCGTCGTCGACCCGCGCCTCCACCACGCCCTCCTCGCGTCTGCCGCCGCCGCTGACGGCGCCAATGCTTCCGCGGCCGCCGCTGCTGCTGCGGGTGTGGTTGGTGGCTGTGCGGGGGAGTGGGAGGAAGGGGGAGTGAGTGCGCGGGAGATGGTAGCCGGGGTGGAGGAGACGTTCAGCACGTTCCTGCGGATCGCGCTGTGGTGCACCACGGAGCACCCCACGCTGCGCCCCGACATGGAGCAGGTCGTGTCGGAACTGCGCAGCATCCGAGACCAGCTAGGAGCGGGGACGGCTGGTGGAGGCAGCAGCAGCAGAAGCCCGCATGGGACCCCCAGTGGGTTCACCACGCCCTCGTCCTTCCACGGCTCGCTGCCCCCCCTTGACGCCAGTGCTTTCAGCAGCCCCAGCGTGACGGAGGAACAGAGCATGAGCGGCACACAGGAGTACACGTGGAGCGGTTATAGCGCCGCACGGGGGGCTGCTTCTCATCCCAGCTATCCCCCTGCCACCTCTGCTGGTGGTGGTGGTGGTGGTGGTGGTGGTGGTGGTGGTGGTGGTGGTGGTGGTGGTGGTGGTGGTGGTGGTGGTGGTGGTGGTGGTGGTGGTGGTGGTGGTGGTGGTGGTGGTGGTGGTGGTGGTGGTGGTGGTGGTGGTGGTGGTGGTGGTGGTGAAGCGTCACCAGGGGCCCACAGGCAGCAAGCGGCACAGCAGCAACAGGGCGCGGCACGGGGGGCGGGTGGATTGGCTCCCCTATGGGGCCCTGGCCTTGTCGCTGGGGTGCACCCCCCTCCATCCAGTGCCGCCCAGGGGGATGCGGCGATGGGAAGGGGGTACGCTGGGGGCGTGCGTGGTGCAGCTGGTGGAGTCACAGACGAGGAACAAGGGCACACTGAGACGATCACGGGACCGCGTGCTCGGTAGCTTGCAGGCGATTGGATTGGAATACAAATGGAGGGAGCTGAGAGGTGGGGTAATAAACCAGGCGTACTTGGGGTTGGAGTGATGCTGTCTTGTCCTCCACCTCCTCGCCCACCTGTACCTGGCACAGTCAAGCACTTCTCCCATCCTCCATGCTCAACGTCGACTCCCCCCATCTGCTATCCCGGCCTCATCACCATCTCTTCATCACTATTACTGCAAAGCCCCACATAGATTACTCCCCAGATTGAACACCAACGGGTATATGGTTGCACAATGACTTGTATTTCAAGTTCCCCCACCTATGTAACTCCTATGATTTCTTGTATTGCCTAGAACACCCTCTCCCTGACAAAATGAGATGGGGGTGTGGAGTTGCAGGCGAGGGGGCTGTGCGTGGATTCTAAACCTCCTCCCAAGCCTTCGGACATTAAATAATAATAATAGTAAATCCAAAAGTCGTTGATTTTTTTAAGTACCAGTACAGTATCTATCAATTTTCGGTATCCATCAATTTTGTTATTGAGCTTGATATTTTTTTCGCTGGTCATAAGTGCTGAGGGGATGGACAGCAACCGCAGGCTAGAGACGGACGGGGTTGGGGTAGCTTCGCTGCTATAAGTCCTTAGTCTGCAACATTGAAGGACAAGCACGAATGTTGAGAGTCCCTTCCTTGCCACTTGCTTGTCCACCCGTGGTATGGAGTGCGAGCAGGGCTAATTTTTTGTTTTCAGCAACCCTTGTGATCAGTGATGCACAAGTCGAAAAACCTTATTATCAGTGTGACAACTTGTTCAAACCCTGATCCATCAAGGTTTTCCTAGTTTTTTTAAATTATACCCTGTAGGATCAGTGTACCAGTTTTGCAAACCCTGGTGTATTGATATTATCGTTGGCAGGCAATAACGAAACTGTATTTCTGGCCAATGGAGGCCCCCCTCGTGCCAGCTCAGATATTGCCTTTGCCAAATTTTAGTTTCGACAGTTACGCGAGAACCTCGGGTTACGGGAAAGGGGGGGTGGGGTAGAGGGGGGGGAGAGGGGGGGGGGGGGGGGGGGTGGGGGGGGGGGGGGGCTTGGGGAGGGTATGTATGTACTCGATTCAGGGTAAAGCTCGTTACGAAGATCGGTAAACCTGGGCCGTCAGTGTACCTTAAACGTAAACCCTGGCCTATCAGGAAAATACAAGCTCCTGAAAAAATTACCCTAAGGCATCAGTGTGACAGCCAAAAACCACCCTGATTATCGGGATATCAGGGTGATTTACCCTGATAAAATTAGCCCTGAGTGCGAGTTGAACATACAAGGTTAGTAAGCAATATCTTTGGACCCAGTATTGTACAAAAATACGTACATTACCATAGAGTGTGCTTGGGAGAATCGCACCAGAACAATAGGCATCGAAGAGATCGACTAACGTCTCCATGTTTTCCATGCACTTTTTGTCTCAGACTTTCTTGCCTAATGGATATATGTCAGGCATGCCTAGCTTGACACAGTTGAGGTTGTCGATCTTAGCCTAATATGGACATTATGGATGGTCACCTTTGCGTATGCGTGGCAGATGTGTACATACGACTGCAAGTCGCCTAGAGACTTGTTGTAGTCAGGCATGCTGTCCTTGTGGAGCTCTGCAAAGCTATCTCGGCCAACCATCATTGCCCACACCATTCACCATTACACTCAATATTCTGTCGAGTCCCTAATGCCATGGGTGCTCAGGAGCTCCGCTGGTTGAGAGCAAGTCGACAGACCTGGTCGATTTGCGCGGGACCACTGCCAGGACATCGACGAGGTGAAGTCGGCGACCAACTTAGACCTGGTGGTCGACGAAGGGGTTCGTCGACCTTGGAAGGGGGGTTGCCAACTTCGTGGGTGCCGAGACGTTACCTGGTTGACCGTGTAACCAGGACGGCGAACTTCCGCCAGGGTGTACAGACGTCGCGCAGGAGATTTTGGCGAAGCCGACCTCGGGCTGGTATCCCGAGGTCGACGTGGTTCCTCAAGCGCAACTGTCGGCACGTGGCCGACTTGGCATCTGCGCAATGCTCGGGGCGGTGCACAACGTGCTCGATCGCTCTCCCGCGCCTGTGAAGTGGGTGCGCGTGTGCGCTATAGTCTAGCCGCATTGTTGCAGCATTGGCAAGCCGCTCTGGTGCAGCGCTGGCAGGTCACCTGGACGTCCCTAGCCACACCCGATCGCACCCAGCCGCTCCTAGCCGCTCCCGACCACACTCGACCACTCCTAGCCTCTCCCCTACGTGTCCGGCCGTTTCTAGCTCCTGCAGCTCCCACGACCCTCTGACTTGTGCCATAGCGTCCGTTAGAGTTTTGCAGCAGCGGGGCCAACTGCAGCGGCAGCAGCAGCAGTAGCACTCCCGGCAGTAGGGACCTGATGGTCCGAGGAGCGTCGGCCCCAGCAGCGGTACAGCCAGCTGGGCGGCTCGCCGCGGTGGTCGCGACGTCTTCCCCTGCCAGTACCGGTTCCTGACTGGCCATGGTGCCGGCACTACCTGCTCGCACCCTGACCACTCCTCATCCCGCAGCTACCGCCACCTCGACGACCTCTACCGTGAGCATTTTGGGCTTGACTCGTCGCTTCCGCAATGGCTTACTCTGTCTCGCCGTGGTTACAATATTTATTATGTCTATGTATAGAGCTTATACTGTCATGTATGTTGATAAATCTAGAACTGTTGGATGCATTGATTTGCTTGTGTCTAGCTTAGGACCTCGGCCAGCTGCTAGTGTAGGGACTTGTGCTTCCAGTGTAGGTGCTAGTGTAGCTACTAGCCTAGGAGTACTTGCGGCTGACGCGTCGCTCCTCTTCACGCTGGACTCTGGCGTGTCTGAGTCCGTGACTACACCACTGTCACACCTCTTTCTCCTCCAGTCCCAGTTGCCCTAGTTGATCATACTTCTGGACCAGCAGCCGCTCACAGTTCTACCACCCTCCCGTGCCCGGCTGTCCCCTCTGGTGTCTTCACTGATTTCTACATTCCCTCGTTCTCTTGGAAATTGGTGGGTGTTGGATATCTTCAGGATCGTGAAATCACAGTCATTTTTCCTGCGCACAGAAGGGCTGCGATCTGTACAGACACTTCCACTGTGTCACTTCTTGCCACGTTCACCAAGGAGCCCCACTCGGGTATTCGTTCTGCATACGGGGCCCCTCAGGTAGCTTCGTATGGTTAGGTCGCTACGTAGTGCTCCTGTCGGTCACTCTCCCACCCGACAGTCTTGTGGCACCACCGTCCCTCCCACGCCTCCGTAGCATGTCTAGCCAGCGTCCTGTCTCTGGTATCCCGCGTGTGTTTGCGTCGCTCCCTCCTTTGCCTGCACCGCCGTGCGCTCCTTGCGTCGAGGGTAGGCTGCGTGCCACTCCTTACTCCTCCTCCCTTCGCCTGGCCACCGCTCCCTTCCAGACTCTCCATTTGGACGCCTGGGGCCCCGCCCCTCGCCCTGGGCCCGAGAAGGAGAGCTTATTTCTGGTGATCGTTGACGACTACTCCCGCTACAACACTGTGTTCCTCCTGGCGAAGAATTCTGACGTGACTTCTACCCTGATCAGCTAGCTGCCCGTCCTCTGTCCGTCGGGGGTGAGTCTGCGCTTGGTTGTGACGTCCTAGAGGACATGCAGTTTGAGCTGGAATTCTTGGCAGCCTCTTCTCCCCACCTCTGTGCCATGTTGCTAACCCCTGAGGGAGACCTCGACGCCCTTGACATTCCGACTCCTCGCACGTACCGTGAGGCGGTGTCAAGGGAGTGGGTCTCTTATTGGATAGCGGCCATGGACTCAGAGATGGCGTCTTGGAGATCCACAGGCACTTATGTCGATGCAATTTCCCCCGCCTGGGGCGAACGTAGTCGATGGCTTATGGATCTTCAAGGTGAAGCGGCTGCCGGGATCACCGCCTGTCTTCAATGCGTACTACGTGGCTAGGGGCTTCAGTCTGAGTGAGGGAGTTGACTTCTTTCAGACCTTCGCCCCGACCCAAAAAAATGACTACTCTTTGGGTGTTACTTCACGTTGTAGCGCAGCAGGACTACAAGCTGCACTCCCTCGACTTCTCCACTGCCTTTCTCTAAGGCCACCTACATGAGGAGATTTGGTTGTACCATCCTCCTGGCTTCACTGGCACTTTCCCGCGTGGGACCCAGTGGAGCCTGTGGCGACCAGTTTACGGTCTTCCCAGTGAGTGGCACGACACGCTACGCACTACTATTGCTGACCTTAGGTTCCGTCCTTCGTCCGCCAACCCGTCTCTGTTCGTTCGTTCTGGGCCCACGCCTTTCTTCGTTCTCGTCTATGTAGACGACTTGGTCTTCGTTACACCAGATAGGGTTGCTTTGGTTGAGGTGAATTCCGAACAGCAAAAGAGACACACGTGCACTAACCTTGGTGAGCTGCACCGCTACCTTGGATTACAGATCACTGGGGACAAAGCCGCTCGCACCATCACACTCGCACAGTCACACATGGTGCAGCAGGCCCTTCAGCGGTTCAGGCTTCAGTTCTCCACAACACAGCCCACTCCTCTTGCCGTTGACTACAGACTCACCGGCCCGTTTCCCGACAAGCCCTTTAAGTCCAATGGTCCCTACGCAGAGCTTGTGGGCTGCCCCATGTACCTGATGACTTGTACTCGTCCGGACCTTGCCTTTTCCTGTAGCGTTCTTTCTCGCTTTGTTGCGACTAGGAGACACCGTCCTGTTCACTGGACGGCTGCTGTAAGGGTGGCGAAGTACCTGGCAACTACATCAGGCATGAGGCTTGTGCTTGGAGGGACACAGCCAGTTGTGCTGACCGGTCACTGCGACTCTTCCTACACCGACAACATGCAAACACAGAGGTTTACTCAGGGGTATTGCTTCATCTTGGGCGTTGGAGTTGTGTCGTGGAGTTATAGTCGGTCGTCGTCTGTGGCACAGTCTAGCGCAGAGGCAGAGATCTGCGTCGGTGCCATGGCTGCACAGGAGCTTCGCTGATTGACCTTCTTGCT